ACCACTTAGGTGAATTCCCCCCCCACACACACACACGCAGTTTTAGGCTGTTTCCAAGACAAAGGCTGAGAGCCAGCAAACAGGAGGCCAGGCCAGGTGTACCTACCACAACCTCATCATAGCTCCCTGGATGACAGCCTCAGAGAAATCCAGGCTCACTTACCTGAGGGCTTTCAGGCCATTCATCAAAACAGCCCTATAATTAATCAAGGAGCTAGTTTTCTCCTATTGTATTAACACTCCTTTTAACAAAAAAACTCCACCCAGAGATTAGCATCTTCAGTTAAAAAGGCTTTTCCTTCATCATTCAATACTTAACTTGACATCCCACAATCTCAAAGTGTAAACTAGAAGACCAATGAAAAACCCTCTAATCCCAAGACTTTCTTTCATTACTTGGAAGACTTCCCAGAACTTCTCTCTAATCAGGGAACTCTCTTGGATAGTTTTCTCCTTTCCCAAGCTGGGGGAGGAACCGTTTTACCTTATTCAAGTTTAAGCCATGTAACTAAAGCCAGGATACCTCCCCAAATTATACTTGGTGACCAAATCATGCTGTGTTCTGTCCTGCCACATGCCCTAAGTTTAGCTACCTGGTCCTGCCTCACGCAGCCATCCACATGCCTTCCTACTCTCCCTCCCCTTAGGTTTTTTTGCCTAAATTTTGTCTGGGTCTCTCTGACCAGCATCCCTCTGCCTGGTTCCAAACTTTCCTGGTTTGGGTAGACACAGAGGTTCCCATTTTGGACTATGGGTTGTCCAGATGCTTGAGACTTTCCCCTGAAGAATCTTTGCTCAGGATCACCTCTACTGATAAGTAACAAGCAATCTGTTTCCTCAACTACTCCCCTATTAGCCCCTGCACCTCCTTCTTGAATGGACCATGTTGCACAGTGTGTGTAAGAAGAAGAAGAAGAAGAGATTGGATTTATCCCCCGCCCTTCACTTGGAGTCTCAGAGCGGCTTACAAACTCCTTTCCCTTCCCCTCCCCACAACAGACACCCTGTGAGGTGGGTGGGGCTGAGAGACCTCTGACACAAACTGCTCTTTTTCAAGGACAGCTGTGCCAGAGCTTGTGACTGACCCAAGGTCACATCAGCAGGTGAAGTGGAGGAGTGGAGGAGTGGGGAATCAAACCCGGTTCTCCCAGATTAGAGTCCGCACACTTAACCACTACACCAAACTGTAATTGTTTGGAATATGTGCATCTCAAAGTGACACCCTAATATTTTGTGCTATTCTTTCATGCCTGACATTCTTTCATGCCACACTCCTACTTCTCAATGGTAGAAGCCCAGGCTTGCACAATGTTGCATACAAATGGAACATTTATATTAGACAAACTGCAATGCTGCATGCAGCTCTTGGAGGGCAATTTCTGTTTGCATTGACAGCTGCCTATGATGGAAGCAACATGACCACCTGGACTCTTTGTCTGCTTCCAACATGACAGCTACCCACTGAACTGTGTCAAGCGACTGCCTTATCTGGCCATAGGTTGGGGTCAACCTTGTTATCTTCCAAGTGTATCATCCGTTTCTATGTTTGTCTCTGAACACATGCTGGATGACAAATACAATGAGACTGTCACCACACTCATCTTAAAACATTTTCAAGCAATGGGAACAGATCAAAGTTCAGCTATCGACGTGGAAGTCTGTTTACAGAGAACCATGAATAGTTGTTTGATTAAGCACTTAGCAATTGTGAAATAGGGTATTCAGCTGCAATAACAAGCAGTAAACACACCCAGGTTGAATTAAACAGGCAGTATCATATGTCAATTGAGAACGTGTACTCAAAGGTCTCGAAGCACTTGGTGCAAGTTTGAATACCATCTGCCCATACATTACTACTGGGAATACCATTGTTTTTGTTGGCAAGGTGAGGTCTCTACTTTTTATTATGCTGTCTAGGTTTGCCATTGCTTTTCTCCCAAGGAGCAGGCATCTTTTAATTTCATGGCTGCAGTCACCGTCTGCAGTGATCTTGGATCCCAGGAACGTGAATTCTGTCACTGCTTCCACAACCTCCCTTTCTATTTGCCAAGGAGTGATGGGGCCAGATGCCATGATTTTAGTTTTTTTATGTTGAATTTCAAGCCAACTTTTGCGCCCTCCTCTTTCACCCTGAACAAGAGGCTCTTTAGGTCCTCTTCACTTTCTGCCATTAGAATGGTATCGTTTACATATCTGAGGTTGTTGATGTTTTTCCTGGCAATCTTAATTCCGGCTTGTGATTCATCCAGGCCAGCATTTTGCATGATGTACTCTGCATATAAATTAAATAAGCAAGGTGACAATATACATCCTTGTCATACTCCTTTTCCTATGCTAAACCAATCAGTTGTTCCATATACGGTTCTAACTGTCGCTTCTTGACCCTTATACAGGTTTCTCAGGAGACATCTAAGGTGGTCTGGTACTCCCATCTCTTTAAGGACTTGCCATAGTTTGTTGTGAATTGATCCACACAATCAAAGGCTTTAGCATAGTCAATGAAGCAGAAGTAGATGCTTTTCTGGTGCTTTCTCCATAATCCAGCGAATGTTGGCAATTTGATCTCTAGTTCCTCTACCTCTTCAAAACCCAGCTTTTACTTCTGGCAGTTCTCTATCCACGTACTGCTGAAGCCTAGCTTGTAGGATCTTGAGCATGAGCTTGCTAGCATGTGAAACGAGTGCAATGGTGAGATAGTTTGAACATTCCTTGGCATTACCCTTCTTCGGGATTGGAATGTAAACTGACCTTTTCCAATCCTGTGGCCACTGTTGCGTTTTCCAAATTTGCTGGCAGATCGAGTGCAGCACTTTAACAGCATCATCTTTTAAGACTTTGAATAGCTCAGCTGGGATACCATCACCTCTGCAAGCTTTGTTTTTAGTAATGCTTTCTAAGGCCCATTTGACTTCGCATTCCAGGATGTCTGGCTCGAGGTCAGTGATTACACCGTTGTGGTTGTCAAGGACATTTAGGCCCTTCTTGTATAGTTCTGTGTATTCTTGCCACCACTTTCTAATCTCTTCTGCTTCTGTTAGGTCTCTACCGTTTTTGTCCTTTATCATGGCCAGCTTTGCATGGAACATTCTGTTGATTTCTCCAATTTTCTTAAAGAGATCTCTAATCCTTCCCATTCTATTGCTTTCCTCTATTACTTTGCACTGTTCATTCAGGAAAGCCTCCTTATCTCTCCTTGCTGTTCTCTGGAAATCGGTATTCAGTTGGGTAAATCTTTCCTTTTCACCTTTGCCTTTCACTTTCCTTCTTTCCTCTGCTATTAGTAAAGCCTCATCAGACAGTCACTTTGCTTTCTTGCATTTCTTTTTTTGGGGGGATGGTGGTGCTTGCTGCGTCCTGTACAATGTCACAAACCTCCATCCATAGTTCTTCAGGCACTTTATCCAATCTAGTCCCTTAAACCTATTCTTCACCTCCACTGTATATTCATAAGGGATGTGATCTAGGTCTCTAGGACTTGTTAGAGAACTAAAATGTGAACACAACATATATACAAACAATACAGAGAAAATTATTTTCACATTGAATCACCCACAACTCTCATCCCACCTCATAGTCAACATTCATCAAGGCTCTCACTCGGATTGTTGGTTTTATCAAAGTATGGGGGGGCAACTTCTCAACCGCTTTTTATTTTAGTGATGTCAGCTGGGCATTGGAAGAGAACAGGATTAAACAGCTCTTAGGCCAGAGGCAGACATAGCTCTCAAGTGACTTGATAAATAGTACATAAAACCCAACCACGAATTCATATCCTCAACAATACTCCCAAAAAATCAAAGTCTTGCAAGCTGGGAATTTGCCAGTTTCCTTATTACTTATAAATCCAACTTCATACAGAAGCCTCTGCAATGGCCAGGCAGACTCCACTCACGACCTCTACTTCCCCACTTACCTGTTTCAGATCCAAGCAAATATTTTCCAGCTAGGCTTAGAATACTGTCAAGAAGAAAAATCAAACAGGAGTCCAATAGTCCTTTCAAAACTAAGAACGTATATTGCACAGTAAGCTTTCGTGAATCCTGAGCTCACTTCACCAGATGCATATGAGTGCCCACCAATAGCAGAAATAGTGACTCTTAAAGGTACAAGCAACACCCATCTTTCTGCTGCTCATAACACTGTAACTGTTATGGACATATACTTCACATACCTGATGAAGTGAGCACTGATTCAGGAAAAGTATATGTTAGAATACACTCAGCTAGTCTTTAAGAGGCTACTGGACTCTTGCTCCATTTTGCTTTGTGGAGATGTCAAGAAGACAGAAAAAGAGAAAGGAAAAATCACCTCCTCCCTCTCTCTAACCTATTTCCCATCTCCTCAGCATCCCAAATAGGACTGCCAACCTCCAGGGGGGGCCCAGAAACCTCCCAGAATTACAACTGATTTCCAGACTGCAGAGAGTAATCCCTCAGGTAAAAGGTAAAGGTTCCCTTGCTCGAAAGCCAGTTGAATCCGACTCTAGGGTTGCGGTGCTCATCTCCATTTCAAAGCCAAAGAGCCAGCGCTGTCCGAAGACATTTCCGTGGTCATGTGGCCGGCATGACTAGACACCAAGGCGCACGGAACGCTGTTACCTTCCCACTGAAGTGGTACCTATTTATCTACTTGCAATTTCTTGCTTTCGAACTGCTAGGTTGGCAGGAGCCGGAACTAGAGACGGGAGCTCCCTCATGTGGCACCCTCCGTCATGTGGCACCCGGGTCTCGAACTGCTGAACTACTGACCTTCCACAGCCTGCAGTTCAGCGTCTTAACCACTTGAGCCACCGCAGCTCCTAATCCCTCAGGAGAAAGTGGCAAATTCGAAAGGTGGACTCTCTGGCACCGCATCCCTGCTGAGCTCCCTCCCCAAATCGCCAGGAGTTTCCCAACCTGGAGTTGGCAAACCTACCCCCCCACACACACACCAGGCGCTCGACGTCGGCGAAAGATGGCAGCACGAGGAACTGCAACCCAAGCGCGGCAGACACCACTTACCAGGGGCACATGGCGAACGAAGCACCCCGGGAAAGGGCGGTGGAGGGTCAGCGGGGCATCTTTTCGTCTGACACCCGGGGAAGCTGGAAATGATAGGGCCCCACAGGTAAAAGGTAGAGAGGAGTCTTGTGGGGGGAAAGGCGGGTCTGACAGCCTCGGTTAAGGGGTTGCGGGTGTCAGCCTGTCAGCACCCCCACTCAGGACCAAGTCAGCGAGCCTCCCCGTCGTCATGGTAATCGTGGAGGCCGCAAATCCTCGTCAGTCAAAGCCTCAGCTCACCGCGCGCAACCACAAGACACAAAGCAGCCTCTCGTCCCGATCCGCCTCCATCCGGAAACAACAGAGAGACACCGGGACCTGAGCCGAATGAACCAATCAGCGCTGACCTGCCTCTTCCGGAAGCGGAAGAACGCCACACATCATTGCTACGGAGAACCTCGAGATACGGAGGAGAGCGAAGATAAGAAAGACGAGGGTCTGTCGTCAGTTCCTACGTCAGGCTGCCAGGGCGTGGACTAGAGGAAGGTTTCACAGCAGAAGTACTAGGAAGTAGTGAGACCTCCCCAGCCCTGGGTGTCGGGAGATATTTAGGCTGTAGATCATGCTGGTCTGTTTATGCAGAGAACGATCACTGTTGAGAGTTAAGGGGGTGGGGCAATTCTGACATGTCGGCGGGGTTTCCAAAGCAGTGTCGGAAAAGCGTAACGTCGTCGTTACGGGGAGGGTTGGTTGCCCTCACTTAACATGGCGGCGAGGGTGTCCGAAGCAAGTTTTCCCAGTTCTACGTACCAGTGAAGCGCACGTTGATTGGCCAAGAGAGAAACCGCGAGCTGGGATAGGGAACGTACGGCATGGCAGAAGGTAAGGATGAGGCCGTCGTTACCAGCTGAGGCGAGCAAGGGAGCTTTTGTAGGGCCCAGTTGATGGGAGGCGTGGAAACTGCTTAGGCAGCTGAGGAGACCCTCTGGGCCCTGGTTGGTTGAACAAGTTACCTCTTCCCCGAAGACTCGCCAGAGCTGGAGCCTCTGTAATGATGCCAGAGACAAAGAAAGATGGCGAGACGCACTGGGTGGGACCCCCGACCCCCATCGTTAGTTCAATAATGCCTATGGTTAAGTGGACCAGGAGCTGCGGTGGCTCAAGTGTTTAAGACACTGAACTGCAGGCTGTGGAAGGTCGGTAGTTCAGCAGTTCGAGACCCGACTGTGCCGCATGACGGAGTGAGCTCCCATCTCTAGTTCCAGCTCCTGCCAACCTAGCAGTTCGAAAGCAAGAAATTGCAAGTAGATAAATAGGTACCACTTCAGTGGGAAGGTAACAGCGTTCGTGCACCTTGGTGTTTAGTCATGCCGGCCACATGACCACGGAAACATCTTCGGACAGCGCTGGCTCTTCGGCTTGGACACGGAGATGAGCACCGCAACCCTAGAGTCGGATTCGACTAGCTTTCGAGCAAGGGAATCCTTACCTTTTTAAGTGGACAATCTGTGTTGTACCTTCCTTTCTGACCTAATAAGAATTCTGTCTCAGATAAGCAGACGTGCTGGTAGGGTTGCCAACTTTGTGGTAGGAACTGGAGATTTCCCACCATTACAACTGATCTCCGAATGACAGAGATCTATGTAACTGGAGAAAGTGGCCGTTTTGGAGGGTTGATTTTATGGCATTGTACCCCACTGAGGTCCCCTGGCTTTACCCCCAAATATCCCAGTCTGGAGCTGGCAACCCTACATGCTGGTTTACAGTAGAAGACCTTCAAGGTTCAAATCTTTAACCACCTTAAAGCCTGACAAGGTTTCCAAGGTATAAGCTTTTGATAGTCAAAGCTCCCTTTATCAAGGATGATGAATTGTCTGACAAGGAAAGCTTGGACTCTCAGAAGTGTACAGCCTGGAAATCTTGTTGGGCTTTAAAGTGCTAACGGACTTGCATCTTGCTCAAATAAGAAGCCCGTTTGCCTATTTAGTGAAACAGCTTTCAGAGTGAAGGGTTATTAACGTGTTTATTATCTTTAAGTGATACATGCATTCCATAACACACTAGATATTCTAGTTTAAATATACTGTGGTGTCTGCTCATGGCATCGGATGGTTTTTTGATGGTGGGTGCAGAAGGAGGGCCCCAATATCATGTTCTGCACCACATTAATTGTCTGGGGAGTCTGGAGTTGCTATGCTGTTCTGTTGCTGCTTGCCTGGAGTCTTTCAGTTCTGGACGTTTAGAAAGTGAAATAAATTGAGCCAAAATAGATAATCTTAGTTCAAGATCCAGAATTTTATCTTTAACACCCTTGGAAAACACAAATGGAGTACATTAATTCTTGAACATCAGCCTCTGACTTTTATATACCAGCCAGGCAGTGTTCCCTCTAAACTGAGTTAGTGTGAGCTAGCTCACATTTTTTTAGCCCCTGGCTCACACATTTTTGCCTTAGCTCAAGAAGGATGGCGCTAGAGCAAACTAATTTATCCAGTAGCCAAATCACCTGCACACAACTTTAATGCTGGTAGCTCCCAAAGCAGAATTTTTGCTCACGAGACTCCACAGCTTAGAGGGAGCATTGCAGCCAGGTACAGGGCAGGAAAAAGTTTTAGATTCCTACATGCTGACAGGTAACAGGGTAGGTTTGAAGGGTATATAATACATAAGCTGTTCTACACAGATGTAAGTCACATGTTATTAAATGGGTCTTATTCCCAGGAAAGTGTCCTTTGGGTTGCAACCAGAGTGCCTTTGTTGCAGATAAGGAAGTTGGGGTCAGTGCCTGAATGGGAAATTTCTGGTAGGTGGTTTGTTTCTGTGGTAGAAGAAAGGCAGGATGTAAATGTAATAGTTAATTCAGAATATTTGATTTTAAAGTGTCTTGGCAACTGGGAGCCTTTCCTGCTTTGCCAGTAATAAAAAAATTCACCCAATGTTCTTCTGTGCCAAAATTAGCAATCCCCTGTTGTTGTACATAAACAGTACGATCAGGACAGGTGGCTCTGAGCCAGTCGTATTTAGTGGTAACAGTAGTGGTCTTTACTTACAGATAGAGCCTCAGATATAGGCACCACCCCTGATGACAGTGAGACCAACAAGAACCCCACGCTGGAGAGATGCCTTGACGTGCTGAGAGATGCAAGAAATGATAGTGAACAGTTTGCTGCTCTTCTTCTGGTAAGGATCCAACTTCGCAGCAGGTACATCTCCAGCTCTTTCACCCCAGGCCTTTCCTAGAAGTTGGCTGGCTATGTGTAGGGCAGAACTCTCCGTCTGCCTTAATACATGGCTAGTTTCTACTTAGCACTGATGTACTGCTTCTTGGAAGTGAATCTGGAATAGTGTCTTGGCAGGTACAAGGATTCCCACCTTGCAGATTAATATTTTCTACATCCACATCTCCCAGGAACAGAATATTGGGGGCTTCTGTCAGACCCCTGGTCAAGAGACTCTCAACAACACTCTCTTTGGCAGTAATTTGTTTATTGAGATGTCTGCATGGTCCAGGTGGAACAGTACCGTATCAGAACTGAGGTTCACGTGTGAAATTTCATAGTTATAGACAGTTCAAACCAAAGTGCACCAATCACACATCGCCAACCTCTTGCCTAAATTTTTGTTTCTAACCCCTGGGAATATATGGTCCCCTTATCTATGAAAGCGAGAAAAGCACAGCTTTGACTTCAAGGTCGTCCCTGGCATTCAGGGAGGTATCTTGGAGGAAGAGTTACAGCTTCTACAACCCCGCAGTTCACACACTCCAACACTCACCCCCCCCCCCCCAGGAATTTCCTATCTATCTCCCAGACATCATGGCAAACTAGAGAGAGTTTGACACCTTCAGGCTGTCATGGGGAGCAGGAGCAAAAAATTCACGTTCTGTGTGTGGAGACTCCTCATGCACATGGAAATGTTGTTCTGAATCTAAGCCTTTGAGTTCTCTAAGTGCTTAGAATAAAAACTTCTGTGGATCAGTGGAAGAGCCTCTGTTTGGCATGCAGAAGGTCCCAGGTTCAATCCCCAGCATCTCCAGTTAAAGAGGACCAGGCAGTAGGTGATCTGAAAGACCTCTGCCTGGGACCCTGGAGAGCCACTGCCAGTCTGAGTATACAATACTGACCCTGATGGCCCAACGGACTGATTCAGTATACTATAGGGCAGTGTCATGTGTTTATGTGTCACCTGGTGTGACTACGCTCTGGCTAAGGGTGGAGAGATCAGTGTTAATGGGGAAAAAGCAAAGAGTTGAATAACTTATTGCATTATTGCATACTTAAAGGACCCAGGAGGATTGCAGGCAGAAGTCTTATTGGTCCCTAGTCCCATCAGGCATCTCGACAAGTGGGCAGCCTTCCAGCTGAGGACGAAGGGAATAGTCTATACATCTCCTAAATCAGTCATGATATACAGGATTCTTGAACATCCTCTGATGTCTGCCATTTTATTTTGCAGGTAACCAAAGCGGCTAAAGCTGGAGACATAGATTCCAAAACCCATCGGAGAATCTTCAATGCAGTTGGTTTCACATTCCCAAATCGGCTTCTGGCTTCCAAGGATTCCTCTGAGGGCTGTCCAGGACACATGTTCCAAGCCCTCGGCCTTACTCTGCTAGCCTGTTTCTGCACCGATCCTGATTTAGCTGAGCATCCTCAGGTCCTTAACAAAATCCCAACTTTCAACAGCGTGATTTCAGCTTGTGATTCCGGTGATGCTTCTTGTGGCTCCATGATCAATGACGCTTACCAGTGTCTTGATGCTATTCTGGCCACTCCCAAGGGACCCAGAGAGCTGGTGAACAGGGGAGCCCTGGTAACTCTGTGTCAGGCCTATGTGAGCCACAACTATGGCTGTGACCGTGCCCTTCGTCTGCTGGTGGGGCTTCTGGCGGCAGCAGAAGCAAAGTGCTGGCAGAGAGCTCCTTCTGCCCTCATAGATGTACTTGACACGCTCAGTGCAGAGTTTCAGAAGGCTGAAGATATGACAAAATTCCAACTGTGTGAAGCCTTGCGCCATTTTGTGCCTCCCCTTCTCCCACCGGGCTCCAAGTGCCTCCCGTCCCTCTACCAAGGCCTATCAAGTATCCTTTCGAGCAAGCTGAGTGCCTCCCAGAGGGATCCGGCCTTGAAACTGGCAGCCTGCCTGACACAGGCCTGTGGCTCAGAGTGGATACCTCCGGGGAGGTCTGGCAGCAAGTTCTTTGCCTTGCTGACTAACCTGGCATGTGTGGAAGTCCGTATGTCTCTGGAAGAGCTTGACCTGGTGGAGGTAGATAAGAAGCAGGATGTGGTGGCAGCTTGCTACATCCTGATGGAGCATGCGATTCTGGAGTGCACAAGAGAGGAGGGGTCTCTGCTGCGGGAGGTGCAAAAAGTGCAGCTGGTGGGGATCCTGGAGGAAGCCTTTGGAGCTGTTGTTTACTACCTGAGGCAGGTAAAGTAAAGCTCTCCTAACCTTCCAGTGCTGACATTTTCCACAGACGTCAAGTAGCAGTTAGTAACCTACCTGGACACAAGGCTTGCAGCTGCAACAGGCTGGTAGGGTTCACAAGAGCATCAGTTTCCAAGGGTGAGATTTTGTGTGAGTAGGAAGAAGCCGAAGTTGTTATTCAAGGAAGGCAGTTTGAATAGGGGAAAAGCAGGAGAGAGCTAGAAATGAAGGAGCCAGGGAAATTGGGAGGGTCTGCCAACAGGGTAAGGAACAATTTGTTTGAAAGGGGCTGCTGTTGTGATGGAGCCATGCTAACCAGGTGGCTTTTAAACTTTCTTGTGAGAGTTCAATCGTTCTTATGTTGTGTAATTGTGCTGTGTAATTTGAATGGATTTGTGCTTATGACATTAATGTATTGTTTTTTTGCAGACCAAATAATTGTTTTTTTTAAAGATAGTTCTTACCTGATGAGGAACATAAACTTGGATTCCATGGGGTGTCTCCTGGGCAGAAGGATTTCTCTGTGCAGAGAATCATTTTCTCACCTCCCGCCACAGCACTAAATCCCCTCCCCAATCACTGTATTTTTTTGGGGGGGAGAATCTGCTGCAGCAGGAAAGTCATGCTCTGTGGGCAGAAATCTTTCTGTCTTTGGAGGTGCTCCATTGGATGGATCCAAACTGCTTTGTCTTCCTTTCTGTTTCTTTCTGTACAGCCTAGTGCTTTGAAAAATATCCAGATGAAGTGTATCTTATTACTTAATTTTAAGATATTCCTGCTTTTGTACATGGCTCAGAATACAGTCTCTTTGGCACATCATTCACTGTAATAGTCCCATGCTCAAAATATTTACATTACTGTAGGATCTTCTTTATCATATTTTGACATCTTTTGTATGTTTTTTAAAAAATACATACATTCGCAAAAAGTTTAGTTATATTGCATGAAATGACAGGAATATAACTTTTTTTCCTACCTGGAATTCTCAAGGTCAGGGAAGAAAACGTTTGGACAGAACCTGGAGAGCTTAATCAGGAGAGCTTTAAACTGAAGCCACAAGGGGAAGGGGATGGTCAACATGGGGACTTCAAAGAAGAAGTGAAAACAGTGGGGGCCCACCTGGGTAGGACAGGTCAAACAAAGGTACAAGGCTACAAGTGCCTATATGCCAATGCCCGTAGCATGGGTAATAAGAAGGAAGAGCTTGAGATTCTCTTGCAAACAGAGGGCTATGATATAATAGAATCACTGAGACTTGGTGGGATGATTCTCATGACTGGGATGTGGTAGTGGATGGGTATGAGTTGTTCAAAAAAACCGGAAGGGTAGAAGAGGCAGAGTGGCGCTGTATGTGAAGACAGGGCTACAATGTCAGGAACCTCTGGTGAATGTGGTTGACAGCCCCATGGAAAGTATATGGGTGGAAATAAGGGGAGGTAGGACAAAGGGTATTGTTGTTGGCGTCTGCTACAGACCACCTGACCAGGGACAGGAAATGGATGTTGCCCTCCTTGAACAGATTGGTAGAGTATCCAGACATCAGAACCTTATAATTATGGGAGACTTCAACTTCCGTTACAAGAATCATGCAACTTCCTGACCTGTCTGGCCAACAACTTCCTTTTTCAAATGGTGGAGGAAACTACAAGGGGCTCGGCCATACTAGACTTAATATTAACTAACAGGGAAGAATTGGTAGACAGGGTGAAGGTGGTGGGGTCCTTAGTGGGAAGTGACCATGTCCTCCTTGAATTCCAGTTGCTGTGGGGGGTCAAGGAAGTTTGTAGCCAGACTCGTAGGTTAGATTTTTGTAGGGTTGACTTCAACTAACTCAGAGGCTTGATGGGAGTCATTCCGTGGGGGAGTGTGCTGGAAGGGAAAGGAGTGAGTGAAACGTGGGCTCTTCTCAAACATGAGCTTTTGCGAGCTCAAGCCCTCGCTATTCCAGAAAGACAGAAACATCGTAAGGGCTCCAAGAAACCAATGCAGATGAACCAAGAGCTCCAGAATAAGCTAAGAGAGAAAAGGGAAATTGAGCGATATGGAGGGAAGGCCAGACCTCTAAAGAGAGTTACTATGAGAGTTACTAGGTACTATAGATCAGCCATCAGAGAAACCAAAGCTCGGAATGAGTTGGGTCTGGCCAGGGGTGCTCGCTACAGTAAGAAAAACTTCTACAGGTATGTGAGAAGCAAACGCAAGGTAAAAGAGGCAATTGGACCGCTTTGGGGAGTAGAAGGAGAAACTCTGGTGGAGGACAGAGAAAAAGCAGACAGGCTTAATTACTTTTTTGCCTCTGTTTTCTCCCAGAAGAACTCGAGCCCATCTAGAGATGGTAGAGGACAGGACACCTGAGTGTCCAGTTGACATTGACAGGGAGGTTGTGGAGAGGCACCTGGCTGCACTGGACGAATACAAATCCCCTGGGCCAGATAGTGTGCACCCAAGAGTGTTCAAAGAACTGTCTAATGAACTTGCAGAGCCTCTATCCATCATCTTTAAGGCCTCCTGGAGGACCAGGGATGTGCCACAAGATTGGAGAAGAGCAAATGTTATCCCAATCTTTAAGAAAGGGAAGAAGGTCATCACCCGGGAAACTAGAGGCTGGTCAGTCTGACTTCTGTTGCTGGGGAGGACCAGGGATGTGCCACAAGATTGGAGAAGAGCAAATGTTATCCCAATCTTTAAGAAAGGGAAGAAGGTCATCACCCGGGAAACTAGAGGCTGGTCAGTCTGACTTCTGTTGCTGGGAAGATATTAGAGCAGATGTTAAAGGGATCGATATGTAAGCATCTGAAGGACCACTTAGTGATCCGGGGAAGTCAGCATGGCTGTGGACTGGACCATAGGACAGTTTGGTGGATAGGGAACTGGTTAGAGGACAACACCCAAAGAGTGGTGGTCAATGGCATTTCGTCAGATTGGAGGGAGGTGTCCAACGGGGTGCCACAGGGCTTGGTTTTGGGCCCGGTACTTTTCAATATTTTTATCAATGATCTGGATGAAGGGGTAGAGGGGGCTACTCATTAAATTTGCTGATGATACCAGTAGAAGGGCTACTCATTAAATTTGCTGATGATACCTGTGACGACCCCTTAACTGGGGAGGTCTGGTTTTACTTTAAAAGTGTTCTTTATGTTTTGTTTTACTGTGTATATCCGGCTGCCACCAGGAAATTTTAGACTTTCCAAACCTTTACTTTATTTTGGCTATCACTGGGTATGTAGGTCGAGGTTTTAGGCCTTTGAGGTACTAATGTGGTGCCTGAGGAAGTATTTCTTTCAGAACTGGTATCTTAAATAAAAGTAGATTTATTGATATAACTCATAATAACAGTGTAGAACAAAGTAACTGGTAATGTGAATATTCTGATAAATTCTTTGGTGTCTCACACAAGCTCTGCTCCCTTTCTGTCAGGGATTTTTCAGGTAACTTTGTAACTTTAACTCAAGGTCATGTAAATTCACTGTTTCTCTCCAGGACATACAGCCTTTCCTAAACTTTTCTTCTTCTCTAGACTAATCTAACATGCAACCAAACTTTTAAAGAGACACACACACATAAACAAGGAATCATTACAATACCAAATTGGGAGGAGTAGTAAACACCCAAGAAGATAGAGTTAAAATTCAACAAGACCTGAATACTCTGGAGAAGTGGGCAGTTGCAAACAGGATGCAATTCAACAAAGATAAATGCACAGTATTACATCTGGGCCACAAAAATGTCAAGCACAAATACTGGATGGGGGATATGTTTCTGGGGAGTAGTGTATGCGAAAGAGATCTTGGGGTAAGAGTGGACTGTAAATTAAATATGAGCAGTCAGTGTGATGCGGTGGTTAAAAAGGCAAATTTGGTCTTGGGTTGTATTTAAAGGGCCATAGCATCAAAGTCGCAGGAGGTCATAGCCACTCTGTATACTGCCTTGGTCAGACCTCACCTGGAGTACTGTGTGCAGTTCTGGAGGCCTCACTTCAAAAAGGATGTAGACAAAATGGAGAGGGTGCAGAAGAGAGTGACAAGGATGATCAGGGGTCTGGAGACTGAGCCCTACGAGGAAAGGCTAAGGGCCTTGGTAATGTTTAGTTTGGAGAAAAGGAGATTGAGGGGGGACATGATTGCTCTCTTTAAATATTTGTAAGGCTGTTATTTGGAGGAGGGCAAGGAGCTGTTCCAGTTGGTAGCAGAGGATAGGACCCTAAGCAACGGTTTTAAATGACATGCAGAAAGGTATCGGCTGGATATTAGGAAAAACATTTTCACTGTCAGAGTGGTTCAAAGGTGGAATCAGCTGCCTAGGGAGGTGGTAAGCTCCCCTTCACTGACAGCTTTCAAGAAGAGGCTGGATGAATATTTGTCAGAGATGCTTTAGGCTGGTCCTACATTGGGCAGGGGGTTGGACTAGATGGTTCGTATGGCCCCTTCCAACTCTATGATTCTATGATTACAAACCACATAGACAACTTCCAAAAGAGTATAAATAAATGTAAAAAACAACTCAAATCTGTGTGATACTGTGGTTTACATAGGACTTTTGGCTAAAAGGCAGGGCTTAGAGCCAATTGAGGAATCCCTTTACGCAGAAGGAAATGTATATCCTGATCTTCAGATATCTTGTGCTAGGTGAGTGATTGCAACATCTACCTTTGGATCCACAGGGTGCTGTGCTGTGGACCTAAAGAGGCCGGGCTGCACAGGCCTTGTGGCAATTAGCGACTCATTCTCCTTTCGCCCACAGTGCCTGTTTTGTCGCCTTTCTTCTGGGGGCTTATAACAGTCCTTCTCTCTTCTCCAGGCAGGGTGGAAGAAGCTGGGGGATCCTTTCATCTTTGCCTCCATTCGAATCCTGGGAGCCTGGCTGGCAGAAGAGACTTCATCCCTGAAGCAGGAGATCTGTGACCTCCTTCCTTTTCTCCTGCATTATGCCAAGTTGCAGTTCGAGGCGGGGAAGAAAGGTGGAAGTAGCTTGCAGAACACTGGATGCAGTGGCGGCCAGGAGCCTGTTTGGCACGGGGATGCTCTGAGGTGAATCTTGTAGGTGGTTACTTGATGCTCAGGAACATCTGGCTCCCAGTGCTGGGTATGGGGCTGGTTTTCATTCAGCATGCATTTCAAACCCAGCAGATAAGGAATGGCTATGGGAGAGGGACAGGGGAAGCCTTGTCAAAGGCCTCCTATTGAATACACATTGCTTATTGGTGGGGTTTAGATATTGGGTCTTTAACCATATCTACAGACTGTCAGTCAAAGTCGAATACCTTTAATGGCATATTGGTAAAATACATGATGTAATAAAACATGAGCAAGAAGGCATTACAGAGACAACAAAACAAGTCTGATCATACAAAGACCTTGTGTCCAGTGTTCCCTCTAAGCTGAGTTAGTGTGAGCTAGCTCACAGTTTTTTAGCCTCCAGCTCACACATTTTTGTCTTAGCTCAGAAAGGATGGCTCCAGAGCAAACTAATTGATGCAGTAACCAAATAACTTGCTCACAACTTTAAAGCCAGTAGCTCACAAAGAAGAATTTTTGCTCACAAGACTCCATAGCTTAGAGGGAACATTGCTTGTGTCTATCTTTGACCGCTTCAGCCAAGAACTTAGCAACCAGAGCTGTAATGTCTGGGTTTGTGTTATTTAATAGACATTGTATTATTCTGTCGTTGTTTACAATATTTTTGGTATAGTGGAGAGGAAAGGAGTTTCTTATATGACCCTGCGTGCAGTTGACAGTCCAAGATGATATGATGGATTGAATGTATCGATTTTATAGGACAGATACATTGCCTTTCATGGAAAATGACTTTGTTATACCGACCAGTTAATATTTTTGAAGGGAAAATATTTAGTCAGGCCAATGTAAAAGCTCTACGAGGAGAAGGGTGATCTAGGTTGTAAAAGTAACTGGCCATGTTCCCTTGCTGGATAGAAAGTTTGGCCTGAGAAGAAAAATAAGGCTGCAGAGGATTTAGCTTATGAAAGTCTAGGTCAAGAAGCCTTTGTTTAATTATTTGAAAGATAGCAGATTCATTGAAGGGCAAAAAGAAATCAACTGAAAAGCCCAATTGCTAGATTTTCTTTTCAGTAGTTGAAAGCCAGGTACTGCTGAACGGATCACTTTTTAACCTTGAAAGTAAAGAGTCTGAAGAAACTATAAAATTCTTGTTTCAATAAAACGTTGGCCCAATTCTATACGAAGTGCCGAATACAGTGTACAATTAGAGACTCCTAAAAGTTATCAGAAATATCTTGCCTGAATTTTCTCTAAGTTGTTATTGAATGCCTTTATCCAGACCAGGATGCCGTAGAGCATCTGAGGTAGAACTTTGCCTTCAAAAGTCTTAATTGCGGCAGGGACATGTTGATTTCCATTAGTGAAGAAGTTTGAGCCGGGTAGTAGCCCACTTAGCTGCAGTGGATTTGGGATCTATGAGTTACCCAGTTTAAATTATACTGAAAGGTAATGCCTAGATATTTCTGTGTTACCTATAATCCATTTTTTTGGGTTCCAGCGCTTAGAGAAAACTAGTACTTTGGATTTTGAATAGTTAATAACTAAAGAATTGTGGTGTCATCAGCATAAAGTAAAAGAGGAACTGCGTAAGACCCTAATTTAGGGGGGTGGCCATTGATGGACTGTCAGTCTGTTACATGGCCATACAGAGCACAGTATTCCATGATGTTGGTGTATGAATGTCATCATGTTCCTGAGCAAATATAGGGGAAGAGACAGTCTTTGTACTTATTAGCTGTTTTGGAATGGGGACATGTTGGTGTATAGTTGTTTGAGCCACTTCATGAATACACTCAGTGATGACCAGACAGAAAGGAAAGGTGGGGTCAGGCTGACCATTCACCTTCATGCCCATCTACTAATCTGACTTTATATTTAAACTAGCCTTATACCTTTGCTTCGCTACGGTATTTAAGTTCCGTAAATCCAGTTATAATACTGATGATGTGAAGTCTGAAATGTAAAATTTGTTGTAGGAATTCTAATGCAGAAGATTGTAGTGTAAAAAATGAAGTGAGGCATACGTACCTTTTTTCCTCTCTACTGAAGGACCTCTCTGTAGACCACATTGGTGGTTCTGCCCTCAGGTGCTAGGATCACCAGGCTGCTTAGTGAGCTCACTCTGGAGAAGGCAACATAGTTGTCTGTTAAGTCAACTCCTGCCACCTTCCACGAAAATGATGCCCTATCTACTCGTGTTCCTGGATTGTTTTGCTCATATGGAGACTGTGTTGTTCTGAGCACCTCAGGGTGATCTTGCTGGTACTTGGCCTGTGCAGCTCAGTGCTCCGGAGGAGTACTGTGTGCAGAAGTTTTTGTTGCATTCCTAAGTTGCCTCCTCCTTGTAGCGTTGGTGTATCTGGCTCAACGTTTACCAGGAGCTTTCTTGGGGGCAGTAAGAGGTGAGAGGTGTGAGGGAGTGGTGATGGGTTGGACATTTCTTCAGGTTCATGAGAGAGGCATGCATCGAAATGGCTCCTAGAAATGTCCTTTACTATCTCCCCGTAAACATTAATTAACTCAATTGCCATGCTGGCTTTTTTGAAAAATATCTATTTAGGAGTCTTGAATAGCTGATTTCTGTAACTGTCCTCAACTGTCTGCAGTCTCTTCTGTGTTTTTACCTCAGAACATTGAGATCCACAGCTGAGCTATCAGAGGGAGGTGGGTGCAAGTAGGCAGCAATCTGAACTCAGAACTCTGAACAACACAATTGACCAATCGGGGGAGGGGGCGGGCAAGGAGGCAGCAATCTGCCAAGCACATGGAAAATAATTGGAGGAACACATTTTGCCCCTTTTTTATCCCCTTAGGGGTTATGTTTCTCAGAAATCTCTTGGGGGGGGGGTTTGACGTCATGGTAGGAATGCACTTCCGTTACTTTGGGTTTCTTGATGCAGGGGTTTGGCCTGAGCATTGAATTGGGGGGGGGGCATACCCCCCCCCCCACCCCCCCACAAATTTGGGGTATATTTCCTTTGTGGGTGGGAGTGTGGCTAAGCTGGACCAGCAGCACCGCTAAGGTGATCCTGCTGGGGTGGCATCCCTGATGGGTTAAAGTACCCTGGTCCTGCTCCTACACCTGACAGTCACTGGCCTGTCTGGTGTTGGGGGAGGGATTACATTTAAAGGCATTAAGGAGGCTGGGCCAGCATCAGGGCTAAGGCAATCCTGCTGAGCAAACTTCCACGGCAGCTGTAAGCATCCCACCTCCTCTCCTACACCTGACAGGCTCCCTCGTGGCTTTAAGCACCCTGTAACCGCTGCTGCACCTGACACCACTGCCTGTTAGGTGTAGGAGGTGGTGGGAGTGTGTTGGAAGCCATCAGAGAGGCTGGCCCAGCAGCATCGCTAAGGTGATCCTGATGGATTAAAGTACCCTGGCCCTGCTCCTACACTTGACAGACACTAGCCTGTCTGGTGTTCGGGGGGATTGTATTTAAAGGCATTGGGGAGGCTGGGCCAGCAGCAGGGCTAAGGCAATCCTGCTGAGCAAACCTCCCCAGCGGCTGTAAGAATTCCACCTCCTCTCCTACACCTGACAGGCAGCTGCCTGTCCAGTGTAGGAGGGGGGAGGAGTATTAGAAGCCACTGTGGAGGCAGGGCTGGCAGGATCACTGAGGCGTTACTGCTGGGGTGGTGTCCCTCGTGGCTTTAAGCACCCAGCAACCGCTGCTGCACCTGACAGACAACCGCCTGTTAGATGTAGGAGGTGGGGGGAGTGTGTTGGAAGCCATCAGAGAGGCTGGGCCAGAGATATTACTGCACCTCACAGGTGGTTGTTATCCATTTCTGATTTCCTCAACTGTTGTTAGCTCTGCGCGGTCTCCTGTAAGTGTTTTTTTTTTACCTCAGAACACTGAGCTCTGCAGCTGACCAATCAGAGAGTGGGGGGTGCAAGGAGGCAGCAGCCTGGCAACCACATAGGAATCAATGGGGGGAGCACATTTTACCCCTTTTGACCCACTTAGGGGTTGAATTTCCAAAAATCGCTTCTTAGTGAGCATCTATGTCACGGTAGGAGCGCTCTCCCCGAATTTGGTGTTTCTAGGTCCAGGAGTTTGGCCTGGGTGTTGATTTTACAGTGAGGGGACTTTCTTTTATATATATATAGATTTGCTGTCAAATTTGCTGTCAAGTGGCAGCTGACTTATGACGATCCTTCATGGGGTTTTCAAGGCAAGTGATGAGCAGAGGTGGCTAGCCATTGCCTTCCTCTTCATAGCAACCCTGTCTTGGTGGCCACTCATCCAGGTACTTACTAACCATGGCCAACCCTGCTTAACTTCTGATCTTTGATGAGCTTGAGCTAGCCTAGGCTATTTAGGCTGTTCGTTCTCTCTCTCCCTCTCTCTCCCTCTCTCTCCCTCCCTCCGTGGGTGTGTTTGTGTGTGTATGTAAAATCATTTCTGATTTTGGCTCCAGCTGGAAATGTGAATTTCTATCTTAAAAACAATGTAAGACTTTCTTGTTCCCTTCCAGTGTGGCAAGAAGTAGTTGAGTATTGCCAGCAGGTCAATGGGCAGAAGATGGCAATACCAAGGTAGGAGGGTAGTATTAGGAGCTCTATGCAAGTCTGTATAGTAGCTTTCTGAACCAACAATATGAGAATTCTGGAGACTTCTCACTGGATAGTGGCTTGTTCACAGTCTTGTGTGTGAACTGATCATTAAACTTTCTCATTTCTCATTCTTTTGCTTCCCTCTTCTAGATTTCTGTTGCCTGGCTTAAGCCACTTAACAACAGAGGATCGACCCCGTGCAATCCTCATTTCAGAGGGTGCACCAGTTCTCCTGTGCCAGTATTTCTCACATCAGTGGGAGATGTTCGTTTCAGATTTGGAAGCCCCATTTGCATTGGATGCTGTAGAATCCACTCTGCAAACAGCTTGTGCGATGTTTCTGAATTTTGTTGTGGCTGTTCCGGAATTGATCAGGTAATGGGCCAACTGAATGAGTTGGTACTTGCGTGGTTTAATAGCCCCACTGAGAAATAAATCCAAACAACAAGGGGAAAAGCCTAGTGTCACAGGAGTTCCCAAATATACAAATTCTACTAGTAGAAAACATCATCAAAGATTGCCAAAACAATATATTAAACAAATTGTAAAGTTGGTGGTGTCACAACAACAACAACATTAATGCATACTGTAACTACTACGTCTTTGCAAAGGCTGTTTGGAAAATGTTATGACTATGTGGACTCCTCCTATCAAGTAACACTGACTACATGGACTTTATGTCTTATCTTCAAAGGAGGAAATATTGTATCTTATTCCTTATTATAGTTAGTAAAGTAAAGGTAAAGGTTCCCTTGCTCGAAAGCCAGTCGAATCCGACTCTAGGGTTGCGGTACTCATCTCCGTTTCAAAGCCGAAGAGCCAGCGCTGTCTGAAGACGTTTCCATGGTCATGTGGCCAGCATGACTAAACACCAAGGCGCACGGAACGCTGTTACCTTCCCACCGAAGTGGTACCTACTTATCTACTTGCAATGACTTGCTTTCGAACTGCTAGGTTGGCAGGAGTTTATTATAGTTACAGTGTGCATTAATGTTGTTGTGACACCACCAACTTTACAATTGTTTAATATATTGTTTTGGCAATCTTTGATGGTGTTTTCTACTAGTGGAATTTGTATATTTGGGAACCACTGAGAAATAGGCTGGGGGAGGGAGGTCTTTCTAGTCTATGGCATAGATGGATGCAGTCTGTTCATTAGTGGTAAAGACAGAGAGTAGCTTTTAGATTTCTGCTAGTAGGTTCACACACCTGACACCGAATCATGCCCTTGACCTACAAAGACCAGTCTTCTATAATTGACTCGCCAGGGTCTCAGGTATTACCTGATTACCTGATCCTGTCACCTGAAGATGCTAGGGATTGAACCTGGAGATTTCCACATGCCAAGCAAATGCTCTGCCTCTGAACTGTGGCTCCTCCCCAAGGGCCTTGTTAAGGTTATGATATAATAGGCTGGGTACAGGATCTCTTCTCAGGGCTCTTTCATGGCCTTTGCCCCCAAGCATATAGTCAAGAGGGTATTCACAGACAGGTGACTCCTCGAGGAGAGGTCTTGCGTGATCTGTTTCATGCACGCATTGTTTCTTCAGGAGCATGCACCTAAAAATGCAATGTGTAGAGTTGTGCTTGGACTGAGGAGACATGGGTTCGAATTCCCATTCAGCTACAGAGCAAACTGGGTGGGTGGTTCTGTATCAAGGCACTCTCCCACAGCCCTACCTACTCCGGATGAGACCAAAAAAGGTGAAAAGTCCACATAAGCCTCTCTGTGGTCCTGAGGCAGAGCTTGCTCAAACTCACAAGGCGTCTCCCTGTTCTGTTTTTGTACTTTTTCCCCATCTGCAGCCGTGAAGATTGTTTCACAGCATTGATGGACGTGTTGCTGAAATCTCTTCCTTCTTTGCGGCCACAGGGAGAGCACCTTGGCCTCTTGGCTGGCATGACGACACTGGGGCTCATGATGGCCAGGAAGCTGTCTGCTCACCCAGGCAAGAACTAGCTCAGCTGTTAAAGCCAACGGTACTCAGTAGGGTCAAGCTCAGAAAGAGAGTGACCTGGCTGCAGCCTAGTCCTCCTTGAGACGATAGGTCTAGGCTGCAGATGAGGGCTTGTTATGCTGCCCTGTAGGTTTTGGATTGGTCTGTTTCATAAAGAGTTGTATTTATTATAACTATAGATGGCCTGGATGGCTGAGGCTAACCTGGTTTTGTCAGATCTGGGAAGCCAAGCAGGGTCAGCCCTGGTTAGTACTTGAAGGGCAGTCTGGGGTTGCTGTGCAGCAACAGGCAATGGCAAACCTTCTCTGTCTCTTGCCTTGAAACCCCTATGGGGTTGCCATAAGTTGGCTGTGGCTTGACATTTTCTACCACCACCAAGATTTCTACCTGAGACAACAGTGGGAGGGAGCTATCTCAAACCCAGACCCTGAGGAAAGTGGACAGAGGTGGTGTAGCCATATTGCCCTACATGGAATCTCTGAACAATACTGAAATCCATGCAGCCCTTTTCTGGCATAAATCTCTGTGCAAGCTTTCAAACTCACCAGAGCTCTTCATCAAGCCTGATGTTGTCCTGAGAAAAGTAGACACTGTTGGCACATATTCCTTCTCTACATGATTTCATTTAATTTCCCACTCTCAGGTCTCCAAATGACTCCAGAAGCCAAAGGATTCTTCTCCACCACCATTACTTTCCTGGCAGGAGCGCATGTGGCCAAACCTGACCCCGTCGGTGACAGCATGATCCTCCACCTTGCGCCAGCCTACGAGGCAGCATGGCCAACCATCGGTGAACTGTGGCTGCTAGGGATGCAGGCCTTTGCCAGCTGCATGCCACTTTTCCTGTGGCTGCCAGAGGTTGTCCTCCACTCTGTTTGGCTCCAGGACCTTTTGGAATTGCTGAGCCGTGTGGCCCCAGCATCTGTGGACTTGGAGGTGGTCACCGCTTTCCAAGGCGTCTTAGTGGAGCTGGCCAGAACCAGCCCGCCATGCAGAGAGGTGATTCAGCAGCACCGAGGTGCTGAACTGGCTAATCTGTATGGTATGGCAGCTTTAGAGCAAGGTCTTAGTCAACAGTGAGCATAACCAGGATGATCTTTTTAAAGAAATATTCTTCCTGCCTCTGATTGGTATGGGCATGAGATATGAACTGTCTTGCTGCAGCTATTCTGTATTATAATACTGCACAAAATACCCAATAAAGCCTATTCTCTCCATCTCATCAAAAGAAACACACAGCAATAATCAAACCAGTGTAATATAGTGGTTAGAGTTCCAAGCTAGGATCTGTGAGACCCAAATTCGAATCCCCACTCTGCCATGCATATTCTCTGGGCACCTTTGGGCCTGCCAGTCACACACTTTCAGCCTAACCTACCTCACAGGGTTGTTGTGAGGATGAAATGGAAGAGAGGGGGATGATGGAAGCTGCTTTGGGTTCCTGTTGGGGAGAAAGGCAGGGCATAAATGAAGTAAATAAACCAGCAGGCAGGTTGAAGAAACAGTTGTCCATGCGCGCATGCCAGTGCACGATTGGGTTGACTCCCATGCCCTGGGAAAGAGAGGGGCTTTAGCACATATGAATATCTCTGCTAGAGGAGTCAATGCCTGCTCAATTTTGATCGTATTCTGGTGGAGAGGCACAGTGCAGCTGTCCTGCAAGTGGATGGTTGTACTGATGGTGTCCTGATGCTTCCTTGTTTGGATTCTTGGGGTGGCATTGCTCCTGTTGGCAGAAGGCATCATTGCTAGATGTCAGGCCATCTAATGCCATTGTCTCACAGGGACCACTGAGACAGCTACATTCTCTTGGGTTAGGCAACAAGGGCGAAAATTAATTTGCTGTAAAAAGAATAGACCCCTTTTAACTCATGCTGCCCTTCCAGATCTCTCTTTTCCTAGGTGTGAGGGGATTTAAGCCCCTCTGGACAGTAAACATCACTTGACCTCTGTCGTTCAGCAGTTGATGGCCAGTTAATATAATTTTCCCAAGTGTAGAACTTGTTCACCCTTTAAAAACTTGGTCTTGTCTCATTCTTCTGGTGTCTGCTGTTTGATAAATTAATCTCCTTGTTTGTAATGGTAAAGGCTTAAACTTAACAGCCCAAGTAAGTAATTTATGTGACCAGTATAAAGAAAAAAGTGGTGTGGTTATACCTTCTGAAGGTGAGTTCTGCGAATAAACAGCCTGTCATAATATATGAATTGAACTTCAGTTGTTCCTCTCTTGACACGAGAGTAGGTTCAAATGCTTATGGGCAGGGGGAACCAGAACCGCAAAAAGAACCAGTTAGAGTTTTTCCAAGTGGTGGTTCCTTTGTGCCTGGAGTCTTCTGCAATACCCCACACACACACACACACCTTGGCCTGCACCTCTGTTTCAAGGAGATCTTGCAGTGACTTCCTAAGACGTGTTAAACCTCTTTTAAACTTGTAGTGGAGTTAGAAGGGGTGTCACTTTGGCTTTCCATCAGGTACCGGGGGGGGGGGTCCATTGCAAAGATGTCATTTTATCATTAACCTGTCCTGTGTGAATCATGGGAATTGCCTCACCGAGCACCGCTATGGCTCCTGAGTACTGTGGCTATGGGAATGTCAAGGTTACCTATTGGTAAGTGCCAGTGCTCTCCCCTGCCAGCACTGTTTTCATCTCTTTTTTTAAAAAGGATTTCTCTTCCATGTGTCTGGCTCCAGCAGGTACATCATCCTGTCTTTTAAAAGACCTCCCAGTGCATCGCTCTGTCACTGGACAAGCCTTTTATTCCACAGGCCTGTATCTTCTCCCTCTCTAGTATCAGAGCATGTGAACATGATTCACTGTGTAGAGAGTAAAGGGAAATAGCAGCCAGGCAGTTGGTTGTTTTTTGCAGGGCAAATGCTTTTGCAAGAGTTTTTCCATTGGTGGGGCCAGAACTTGAATTCAGGGCCATCTGCAGGTGTGACAGGTACTTGACAGGCCTTTCCACAGTCAGAATCCACGCAGTCTTTGGTGGATGGGTGGCCTATCTGTAAAGACATTTTGTACCTCCCACTGTCTGCCTTGCCTTCTGCCATTTTAATTTATTCTCCTGCTACACTATCTGTTGCACACATTGTCAGAATCCTGGTTAAATCAGATCTTCTTCGTGGTCTCTGTGCAAACCACACACCATGGGTTTCACGCCTACGCTGAGCCCTGGCCGGGAAGCCTAAAAAAGCTTAACATACAACCTACCCCATGCGGAGTCCGCCCCAGTCTCGCGCAGCCCTCCCTCACTGCGCATGCTCGGTGACATATCATACACCCCCACATTCACAGGACTCTCCCCTTCGAGGGGACATATGCTGTATCCTGGTCCAAAGCACGGTTCTGGTGCCAGCTGCTCCAAAGTGCAGTGCCCCTAGGACAATCACACAAGCAGACACTGGAGCCAGGCTGCACCCCAAAATAATCTTTGGACCACCCCAAATGACACATCCCCATGCTCTGGGGACTGGGCCTTGCAAGGTGACATACAGTGACAGCCGGTCCAAACACCGGTTCTGACGCCACATATGATATGTGGTGGTCCAGTTCTTATTTTGGGGGTTGGAGCTTTCCAATTCTCTCCTTAGTGTTTCTGAATGACTACTTGAATAAGTAACGAATAAGGAAGTGCGAATAAGGAACCAACTTCAGCCTCCTGCTGTGGTGCAGGAGGTCGAGGAAGGAAACCGCCCTAACAATTTGTCAGAATCCTGGTTAAATCCGTTCTCAACACCACTCACTTCGAAGAAAGTTTGGTCAACTGAGACTTTGAAGAATACCATATTGAACACGAGCTTTGTCAGGACTGGAGATGAAAGCGCGGAGATTGCAGATATATTGTGTTCAAGCAAAGGCACTAAAGATCAGGACCCAATCACCCCACGGCGTTTGTCCACCAGAAGTAACGGTCAACTACACCACCACCCCACTAAGCATGTACCCCTCTACAGAAATAAAGCAAAACAACAGGTCTCTGCGACACAGTGTCTGATGCATCAAAGTATTTAGGAAAGCAGAAGCATTTGCTATTCATACCCCTCTCCCCCTCCTCCTCCCTCTATGGCAGGAGAACCATAAAATGCATACTGAGCCTGACACACATTCATTTTGAGCTGCCTTCCCTGGCTCCAAAAGTATTGCTTTCATTATGCACTTAAAAGCAAGCGGGATTTGGAGCTCACATGCTGCTTTTTGCATGCTGGCCATTGTTTGTTGGGTCCAGCAGCCAAGGTTGCAGCTGCTGCCTGCTCCTACTCGGAACCTGCTGTCTTCTCCTCAGAAGCTGGAGGCTTCCACCTTTGACTTTGCACCAAACAAAACCATTACATTGGCTCAAACTGATGAGCTTTTCCTAAATGTGATTTTAAAAATCCCTCCTTGCCACCACTATCTTTACTGGAAAATACAGAACACAAGATGAGGCATTCTGAAAGAAGTGCAAGGAAGCCCTACATCGTCGCTTGGGCAATGTGCTACCTTTCGGTGCACATGCATTGCGGTTTCCAAAGTGGTAGTGTGCAAAATTAGAATGTGCATGAGTATAATCTCCCCCCCCCCCCCACACACACACACAGCCGTTGTGGTGCTATTGAGTTGAACTTGGGGCTAGGGAGGCCCAGGGCTCAAAGCCTCAGCCAGAAAACACACTGGGGAATTCTGAGCCTGTCACTCTCACCCCAGCCTATCTTACCAAAAAAGCCAGGTATGCTACCCTGAGCTCACTGAAGGAAAGGTGTGATAAAAATGTGATAGGTGGGAAAATACAAGCCTCTTTAGGACTCTCGTTAACAAAAAAAATGCTTCCTTTTTCTCTCTCTGGGCATTTGCAAAATCCCATTAGGGTTCAACCACAAGGTGTTCGCTTCTCTCTGGGGGAATGGGGGAAAGGGCTCTTTCATGGATGAAGGAGTATTAGGAAAATTATTGTATCCTTACTTGCCATTCTTCTTACCATCACTGTGATATGCAGCTGGATGATAGCTATGTGCCTGGAAAATCTGAAGTTAATAAAAATATTAACGTGGTACTTTGGGGGGGGGGCAGGGGAAGGGAAAGAAATTATTCTTGGGGTGCATTTTTCGGAGTTTGCCACTAGGGGTCACTCTTAGATTAATTAAAGACTTCCATGGAGGAGGAAAAATAGCTCCCTTTCTCATTTGAAGACCCTCTCTCTATGGACTTCTTCATATATAATTTTTCTAAAGAAACATATACAGGGATGGGGCTCTGTACACTTACAAGCATTGATGGTCTGCTGTAGATACAATATGTTTAAAAGACACTGCTAATTCTAATTGAGGAAGGAAGTGAGGGGAGAGGCGTAGAAGGTCCTCCAGTTCAACCCCAGGCACCCACAGTTAAAGTCTGTCACAGAGTCCATGTGGTGTAGTGGTTGGAGTGTTGCACAGATAGACTTGGGAGACCTGGGTTTAAATCCCCATTCTGCTATGAAGCTCAGCTGATGAGCTGGTCGCACACAGGATAACCTACCTCACAAGATTGTTGTGAGGATAAAATAAAGGCGAACCAAGTTCATTGGGTGGGATAACAATATACTAGATAGTTATCAAACATTAGCTGGGGGGGAAACCCTCCTCATGAGGCCTTGGAGGCAGTGCTGCTAGGCAGAGTGGATAAGCCACCATGAGTCTCAGCAACAAAGATGGACCACATACTCAATAAATAAAATAATCATAATAAGAGCAGGCAGTTACTGAGCAGGACAGACCATTAGACTGAGTTTAGACCACACAGCTTGAGATATTTAAACATCTGACATACATTCTGTTATCTATATGACCCATGATGGTGTACAAGTATTTCTCCCCTACGCCTGTACAAAAACCAAAAAAAAAGTTTGTGTGTGAACCAGCCATTCATTTGACTTATGAAGACCTGGCTCTTCTCCCAACTGCAGGGAGAGGGTAAGCAATTTACTCAGCCTAGGTGTATATGTTTTGCACATGGATAGATGTGGCCACTAGGTAGGTGTACAGCAAACCAATTTCACAAGCTGGCTGTTGGTATGCTAGCCAAAGTCAGCACAGATCGACTCGGCTCCCATTTTAAGCATTATGTTGGTTGTGTGAACAGATGTCCTGGGAGTTCTGCTTCTCTATTAATGGACTCCTCAGACAGCCCATAGTCCCCACTTTGAGAAACCTGGCATGCCCTCTTCGCCTTCCTCGTGGCAAGTTGGTAATCCATCCTGGACTGGACTACTTCAGACTGCTCTTGGGGGAGGAAGTTGGCTCAGTTCCGCAGGGCCTTTGGCTGAGGCAGTGGATGTCCAATTCATCTCAGCCTCC